CTCTCTCTCTCTCTCTCTCTCTCTCTCTCTCTCGCTTACCTATGAATGCGATGAGCAGATGATATGAAGAGAACTTTATTATATATATTTTTACTTAAATTCTTTCCCCAAAAGCGATATTTTTAAAATTAAGCAAAAAATATTTGAGATAATTTTAAAGAGATTTAACTCAACATAAAATATAAAGTATTTCTTGTAATCGTAAGAGAAAAATAAAATAGTAAAACATTAATTTCCAAAAACTTATTCTTTGGAGAGAGAGAGAGAGAGAGAGAGAGAGAGAGAGAGAGAGAGCTATAGCTGGGATGATATTAGCGAAAGCACTGTTGATTCGGTGGGGTTTCTAATCATGAAAATGACAGCAATAATGGAAAAAAGAGAAGAAAAATATTTCATACGATATTCACAGAAAAAATAATGAATATAAATGTTTTTTATCACTTGAAAACATCTCTAAAATGTGTGCATATAATACACACAACGAAGAGATGTGAATACGAGAAGTGATTTGGTTTTGAGATGAGAAAAATATATTCACATAAAAGAAGAGATAAATGAAATTTAAATGAGAAGTCAGTCTCTCTTCAAGTGCTTCCAATTTTCATTCGTATTTCAAATTATATTATATTTTAATTCATTTTATTTCTTTCCTGTTTTCACTTCACATATACTTTGCGTTCACTTTTCAATCTGTTTATGATTTAAATATGAGTTTTAAATGTTTGCAAATATTGTTAAGCGATTAAAACATTGCATATAATTTCGTTGATGACATGAGAGAGAAGTTGTTTTTTATTTCTTTAATAAAAGCGAAATAAAAAAGTAAACTTTATTTCCCAAAACGATAACTAAAAAAACTATATAACAATTTTTTGTGATTATATAATTGGCGACGACTTTTGCATAATAAACAAAATGTGTTTTTAATCATAATTTTGTTAAACAAGACTTGTTTTTTAAGAGTGTTTGTTGTGTTGATAGCCATATACTCTTCGGAGTGAGTGGTGGTTAAAAAAATGAAGGAGTTAAAAATATATTATAGATAGTGTACCGTAGCGTATAGTGTAGGAGTTGTTTTTTATGCTTGTTGCTTTTATTTTGTGTTTTGGTAATTTTATTACAAACAATTTATTAACGCATTTATGATTAGCGGAGACATAAAACCGATTCATTGAACTTTTTAAAAAATCATTACTGACTTTGCGTTTAGAAAAATCATCAAAAATAAACTTTTTTCTTACTCTCAGAAAAAAACATTTTATATTCTTATTAATAATGATTTTTCTTATTTTTTGTCTGATTATCAAACAGAGTGTAGGCGTCCGTTGAGTTTGAGAGAGAGATCTCGGCTTTGGATTGGCTCTGAAGAGGAGGAAAAGGCACTTAAAACTCAGGACAACGCAAACATCTCTTCTCTCCAAAACAGACAAGAGAGCGAAGAAACCAAAAACGAGTGCACAGAATATAATTAGAGTCGACGACCAATAAATAAGTGGAAAAAATCAATTAATTTGTGTCACAAAAAACAATTGTAAATATGAATATGAATAACACACCGATTTGGTCGGCCAACGACATACACGGCATGCACTCACCGCTCAGTAATTCAATACAATTGCCCACATTTAAGGTGAATATGGACACCGAGTCCGTGCGGTCGGGCTATAGCGACCGATCCAAGCGTTCGCGCGGACACGCCTCGCATTCCGTGTCCCACAGCAACAGTAATAATGTGTTGGCCGGCAATCATACCGGCAATCATGTCGGTAATCATATCGGCAATCATCACAACCACGTCGGCAACCATTTGGGCAGTAATCACGTGAATCACACCAATCATCACCCGTACGGCAATCACAGCAATCATCGCAACCATAACCACACGTCTGGTCACAATCACCGGTCGGCGAGTCGACACTCGCATCGGTCCACTCGAAGCGATCGGCAGTTTGTGAGCAAATTGGAGTCACCCGACGAACGACACGAGGGAGGCGTCGGACAGGAGGTGATTGAAGTGCAGATTCTACCTCAAGACGACAACTGGGGCGACAACACCACTTGCGTCACCGGCAACACCAGCGACCACTCGGTCTCCATCGGCGACGACATGAATAAGATCGGCAAAGACTTGTGGAGAGAGCAGAGCATGTCGTTCAGGTGCCAGATGTGGTCGGGAACTGTTGTGACGGCGTTTCTGTGTTTGTGTGCCTTCGCGTCACCGCTTCTGATGGTTGTGTTGCCAAAAGTGGATGCCTTGGAGTGGAAGACCGTTGAGTGCGGACCCGAATGCGATGGACTACTCATTAGTTTCGCGTTCAAACTGTTGATCCTATTAGTGGGCGGTTGGGCTATATTTGTGCGGCGCCCGCGGGCGACGATGCCCCGCATATTCATATACCGGGCCATTGTGTTGGCCCTCATATTTGTGTTTATGGTCTCCTATTGGCTCTTCTATTTGGTGAGGATCGCCGAAAAGCGGTTCAATGACTACGATTTGGTCACTTATCACAGCATTGTGTTGTTCGCCGTCTCACTCGTCGACGCCTTACTATTCATCCACTACTTGGCTGTGGTGTTGATTGAGATCAGACACCTTCAGCCCCAGTACTACATCAAAGTGGTCCGCTCTCCCGACGGCAAGAGTCGCAGCTATAATATCGGTCAACTCAGTATACAGAGGGCCGCCGTATGGGTGCTCGAGAAGTACTACCAGGACTTTGATATATTCAACCCATACTTGGAGTCATTGCCCACCAAAAAGTCGCGCAAATCTGGCCACACGTCGAATCACATCAACGCGACGACAGCTGCCATCAAATACTACGATATCGACGGCATAACGAGCGCCGGCAACAACACCAGTGTCATCGGCTCCACATCGATGGGCATCAATATTACGAATAGCAACCGATCGTTCATCACTGGCATGAATGGCAGCACATCCGGTGACCTCCGGAACCGTAGAGACCGTACGGATCGTGCGGACAGAGGCGACACATCTAGTCATCATCACAGCCATCACCACAACGAGCGCTTCTATGAAGAGCACGAATACGACCGACGGGTTAGGAAACGGAGGGCCCGACTCGTCACCGCCACCGAAGACGCCTTCACTCACATCAAGAGAATACAGGATGAAAGAGGTTTGTAACGATTGCCCCCATGAAAGCCATACATCACTTGTCACTAATTATCTTAAATTATTGTAATTAATTAATTTATATACAAGTCATTCATAGTTAGTACACATATTGAAAGCCCAACTAAAATATGTCTCCCATTCCTCCTAAATATCTCCCAATCATTAGTTTGTGTGATATATGAGATATAGTCGAGTAATGTCTTGGAGTCACTTCCAACCGGTTTTGCCAAATGAAATATAATGTATTTTCATGTTTCCCAAAAATTGCAAACAAATTTCTTACAATAAAAGCTAAGGAAAAAATTGTCTCCTATTTATAGTTCGTGTGATAAGTGTATAAAACAGTTTTCCATTACTTCTGATTACTGAATGTGTTTTTATCTCACGAGTTGTGCAAAGAAATACTTTTTCAATAAAAGCTTAGGAAAAAATTGTCTCCTATTTATAGTTCGTGTGATAAGTGTATAAAACAGTTTTCCATTACTTCTGATTACTGAATGTGTTTTTATCTCACGAGTTGTGCAAAGAAATACTTTTTCAGTGCATTTGTGTTGAGAAATAAAGCTAAAAAGTGCGACCAAAACACAGATGTATTTATATTAATATAGTTTTTCTCAACAATAAAACAAAAAACAACTGAAAGACAAAGAGTAGTGAAGATGTGAGTCCTTCACAATCCAATGAACAGAAATTTGTCTTAACTTACGAAATGCTTACTCAGTTTAGTTGTCTAGTTGTTAGGGCACAGGCAGGAGGAATGGTAGGGCCAGACCAGCAAATGATTGTGTCAACATATGTGTGCAAAATGCATGTCCGGCTCACATAACCGTTAGTTTAGGCACTTTTTCTATCGTTTTTCTTCACTTAGGAATAGATACACAAACCATGAGTTGATATAAAGTATACTGTATATCAAAAAGTAAACTATTATTTATTCGTCCAATGATTTAATGTGTGTATAAAAAAGTGTCAATTCTTTCGCTCTCGGAGTCTATGTTTAAGACATTTATTATATAAATGTAACACTTTTTGGACATTTTGTTCACTAAACAAGCCATCGATGAGTAAACTCTGGATACAATAAAAATCCGTATTATCTCCTCTAATGTAAGACATACAGTCTCTCTCTCTCTCTCTCTCTCTC